ATGATGATGATTATGATGATCAAGTTAGCGGGCGGTGCTCACTTGCTACTGTTGCTCTGATTTTGAACACACCTTCAAGTTAGGGCTTGGAATAAGTACGGTAAACCGTGATTATACGAAATGTTGTTTTACAAAAAGCTTTTCGATATGTGTATTGTCCCTGAACATGAAGCACTTTTGTGGAATCTCGTATATGGTCCATGGGAAGCGTCTTGCTGAACACGTAACAGAGATTACTATATGAACTTATCCTATTTCATGCACAGAATAAAACAACATTATATTAGATTCATTTGGCCGTGCGCTCTAGTTGTGTTGGTCGTCGACCATGTACATAAGAGGAACGACAGTAGATGACCACCCTGAAGGTTGGCAGTTGGAGACACAGATGGGACACAAAAACAGTAAACATAGCGTATGAGTCCTAACCGGGAGGAGACAGTTATGCAATCAATCCTTTGTCGACCATCACGTCAATTCTTCCACGAGTTAAAGTGATTCAGAATATCGTCACTGTGATCTCTCAAAAATGGTTCGCAGTTGTGCCTAAATTTAATGCCAATATGGTAACACGCATTCTTATCTCCCATCGCAGATTCCTGTATTTTTCATCTGAATCTTAGGGGTTTGATCACTTCAAGTTCTGAACGTGTGCATATAGGCTTTATCTTATCTGAATGTCACTAAATCACAAATCACAAACCTGTTGTCACACTGGGAAACTCTCACGAAAGAATCTATGCATATCACTCTTGGTTTGTTTTCCAGCTCTTTTATTCTAACTTCAACTCAGTCATTAATTCCGAAAAATGATACTTGCACTGGCCACGATGTAAAACCAAAAATTTTGGTGGCAATATTCTGGCTGGGCAAAAGCTCGGCCGAGCCGGTGCTGATTAAAGAGCTCGAGGTGGCGGATGCACAATGCTGAGGTTAGGTGCACAGTTTTAGATACCTGCGGACGCCCACTGGAGCAAGTAGTCGACTTCTATAAATTTCGTTGGTTGAGGCGTGTTGCTTACCGCACCAAATAGGTTGCCGTGGTGTGCGATGTTTGCCGAGGCAGGTTGTGGGTAGAAAAGAGCCGAAGGTGATCCGACTAAGATAGGGTATGAGGGTATGAAAACCCTGACCAGGAGATTCGGTCATATAGGTTATGTTAGGCTCCCTGGATGGGGACCCTGATATCATGATAACCAGTGTTTAGACCAGTGAGTGATCTGTGAAATATCCTTTTCCCTTTATCCATTTCATCAACATCGGGTGTTCATGATCTGATGTTGATGAAATGAGTGATCTGGCTGGGTGTCGTAAAGAGTAGAGCTCGTGTATCTCGATTTCATTGCAACCGTAGTCTCTGTGATTTCTCTATTTTCTCTTTCATTCTGCTCTCAGCATTCCTTTCTGTCCAAAGTCGTTTTGGTGGTGATGAAAGAATGAATCAGACCGCTCAATTTCCAGTATATTCAGTATTCAGTATATTTTCAGAGTATATGTATAAACATTGCTCGAATACACCATCGTCACAAATTAAAACAAACTGAACACAACAGCGAACAAGCTCGTTTGCGATGATTCCTCTACAGGCTAGTATATCACAATTTATATCAAGCTCTTTAGTAGGGGGAGGAGAACTAATGGCAAATCAAATCGAATCAACATTCCAGTTCCATGGCCGAATGTTGCTCACACATTGGTCGTCACACATGCACATTGGTCCGGGTCATTGGGGNNTGGGGGGGGGGGAGTGGGGGTGGCTGTGTCGTTGACCACGGAAGACCGAGTGCTCCCACGAATTGTTTTTGGAAGCATTTGGGGCGGGGGATTATGTAGGTGGATTCCGATCGCTTCCGCTGTGGCCCAACGCGACTCCTAGTTCTCTTAGACAGACGACCGTAACCTAAGTAGACCCCCGTTTTCAAAA